TTTTAGTTTTAGTAATTAGTTGTTATTGTCTTGTTATTTTTTTTTTTGAATTTAGGTTTTTTTTTATGGTTCTTTCCTAATTCTATTATTATTGATTTATTAGTATTGGTGTGAAGTCCTGGTAAATGTTGAATTATTTTTAAGCGTTGTTATTGTGAATAAATTTTTTGTTGTTGTTGAACCCTGATTGTAGCGGCGTGTTCATTTTAGACCGTTAAATTGGCGCCCCAACAGGAGAGTCAGTTGAGATGTTTATTTGGAAAACTGAAAATTTACAAATTATGGAACCCTGAAGCTACAGAAAGAGAAACTGTGAAGTGTATAATATCACATTTGCACGTTTCGTTCCGAGAGTACTTGGGATGCCACTTTGTTATATCTATTGTTGATGTGCTAAAATTTACGAAAAAATACGAACATCGCCAGAGCAATAAACAAGAACCTTTTAAGAGTGAAGAAGTGATTAAAACTGAGCACCTTAATAGACGTGTGCGATGCTATACTTGTAATCAAATAGGGCATTTATCTAGGCATTATCCCAAGAAAATAAAAATGTAAATGGGGAACAAACAAACGAAGGACAGCAGTCAGGAAACAAGAGCAGGGATCAAAGAAGGAGGTTTTGAGTTCCGTGAAAATAAAACCCTCCATTCACTTTTAACAACAACTAAAATGGATCTGCCACACCTAACCCTAAAATTTAATGGTGTGAAAGTAGTACGCCATATAGACGCTGAGTCGGATTATTCAGTACTAAATCAAAATATATGGCAACAAATCAAGAGAAATGATCCAACACTTAAAAAAAAATTGTGGAGTAAAGGTAACATGTATTTTGCAGATGGAATGATGAACTGTCAACCGTTACAATATTTTGAAGCAAAACCATTAGTAACAAATAGCAATGTTTTGTTGTCAAAGATTTGGCCGTATCTTGTATTATTGGGTTAGACTTCATTCAGCAAAATTAAGCAACTCTTAACGTCTTAACAAATGTTCTTGAATTAAATGTGCCATCTGTTAGGCATGACTTTGAGACTGAAAAGATACTGATTGAAGAAGTACAATGCTCGCATTCAGAGAGTAAATACTGTGAACAATTAAAGCAACTTGTATTGAAATATGCTGATATTTTTAATAATAAACCTGGCCTCACAGTCTTGTCTGAACATAGTATTGTAACCACGACATAAAAGTCAGTGTCTAGTAAACCTTATATTTATTCTCCCACTAAATTACAAGTGCTACATGATTAAGTGGATAAAATTATTCGTGGTGGGTTAACTGAACCATCCACTTGTTCTTGGTACTCTCCATTAGTTATTGTCGAGAAGAAGACTAATTATTTCAGGTTCTGTGTGGACTACACGAAGTTAAATCAAGTCTCATAATCTGACTGCTATCCATTGCCTCATATAAGGGATATTTTGACTGCTTTGTCAGGGGCAACCTGTGTCAGTACATTAGACTTATCCAGTGGATAGTGGCAAATACCTGTTACGATGGAGGATCGACATAAAACTGCCTTCATAACGGACATTAGACTTTATCAATTTAAAGTGATGCCTTTTGGTATTGAAAATGCACCTGCCACCATCCAAAGATTTATGGATAAGGCTTTAGCAGGAGCAATTGAATGTTCCAAGGCGTATATTGATGATATTATAGTGTTTTTACCCACATTTGAACAACACTTGAAAGACCTTGAATTGATTTTCTACAAACTACATACAGCTAATCTTACTGTAAAGTTTCTAAAAGCACATTTTACCA